CAGTCTATAGATGGCGATATAGTGGCAACCACTTGATATAACAGAACGCCTACTCTTACACACGATGTACGTCACAGTGAATATCATCAACATAGAAAAGAGATGCTAGGTAGGAATTGCAGCGGACACTAACAAAGAAAAAGGAATAACATTACACCAATTATGTGTAACAGAAAAAGATGCAGACAAACTGAGTTTCAGCATATTGCCAGCATCGGACTTGAAAGAAAGTCCAGCATTCTCAGGAATTTAGGAAAGCAAGATACATATTTGACGATATAATTTCAGCAGGCAGTTATAAAGCCGGCCCTGTTCTTTTGCGTACTTAAAGATGCTCTAACTGCTGCACCGCTCACTATTATTCGGTTATCTCTTTTCACTTTATCTGTACTATCATGAAGCATTTCCTAACTTAACAAGGCCGTGTTCAAAATGCAGCAAATGACTACATCCCAAGTAGAAACAAGAAAAAGGATATGTCCATTCTCCAATCGTCCAATTTTGATCGTCCTAACTATATCATCCTGCTAGTTGTGGTGTGCAGATGAGAACTAATAATCTGATAATTTTACTAAAACACAGATAGAACTTGATTGTTAATTTATTTAATAAAACGACAGATGTATCGGTTTTTGAAAATAGGTAAATTAAAAGTTTTTATGAATTTTCTGGTTAATGGACATTCAAAAGCGTATTTGATGTGGTATGAAATTGCCACTCGTACATTCACAAGAGTCTTAGTAACCCTTCAGAATAATATACGTAACAAGCACACGTCAAAATATTCTAATTAAATACGAAATGCATTCCACGACTGCACTCGAACGCACGTATGTATGCCAGCGCGTCTCGGCGTTTCTACGTTAATTCAAGTGCATTCATCTGAATAGAGCCGTTCCACTCTATTTGTTCGGATAAGTCTTTCAATTACATTGTAATTAACCTCGATATTTTTTTAATAAGCGCATTCCAAGCACAACAGGCCCAGGGCGCAACCGTAGCGTCGTGGTGGATGAACATTAATCATCGAGACTTCAATAACACGAGTACATTTACGACGATGGCCTCTTCATAGGGCGGAACTTAAGCTATGTACATAATATAACGGAAAACAATTTTCCAATAAAAAATGTTTTCTCGAATTATAATAGTCCCTGATATTCAATCCTGATGGACTGGAATTTCTGGTCTAATGCTAAGTATTTACCTTCCCGACCGGAAATTAGTTCAGAGAACCCGGATTATGACCAGATGCGGATCAGATTTTCCGTTATACGGGCATCTGATCAGTTTCTGATCAGAGTACAGTCTCCATTCCTTGATCTGGTCATCCGATCAGAAATTGATCAGCGCACAGTACTCTATCTGTTGATCCAACCATCTGATCAGAAATTGATCATAGTACAGTATCCTATCCTTTAATCCAGTCATCTGACCAATTTCTTATCACAATCTAATGCTACAAATTCTATTACGGTTTCGGAATAATGTTTAAATCAAGATTGTATCCGATGTTCTAAACTGGATCATAATACAGAACTTTATTTTTTACCTGATTTATTATCTATGCAATATTTTTCGTCAAATGGATCTTTGAAACGGATCCGTCATGGATTTTAGAAACGGATCCATCCTGGATCTTAGAAACAGATCCGATATAGATTTTTCAAATGGATCCTATGTTGATCATATATGGCGTGACGATTTTCCATCATACCCGGATCAGAAAGCCTGATCTATTTCTGATCAATCTTCAAGCAATTCTGATCCGCATCGGATCCAATCCACTAACTAATTTCAAGTCGGGTTGTGACTAGTAGGTAATCATGGTAAAGTCAGGTTGACATTAGGACCTATCTGATCCTTTTCACGGTGTGTCCTATTAAGAGAGTTCTGGTGTAGGTAGACACCTTACGTGACCCCTTTTATAGCTTACCCTATTTAACCTGGTCTAGCCCTAATGTGGATGTGGTCAAGGGCCACTTCAGACCTGGTAGAATCATGCAGGGAAATACGACATCTTAACGCACTTCAGCAGCTGCAGAATCCATTTGGTAGGAGTATTTCTTTTCTATTTTTTCTGTTGATATTTAGTTTGTTGGTCGTTCCACAACCGTCACTGTTTACATTTTTCATCGATGTAGTTGCTTAATTGTTATCGCAACTTCTCTATACATTACCGGCTGTGTCTGTTGCTTTACTTACCATGCCATTCTCTATTGTATCTTGTTGACACCATCTAAAGCTTCCTACTTATTTCAGTAACACCTTGTACAGCCTAATCACATTCACAGAGGTTAGCACCATCCAGACCAAGTTCTAACGCGTTTCATTTCTAATCTGGGGCCAGTCAAAATTGCATTATCAGGGTCCTAGATGAGATCAAGTATGTCAAGTAGAGTCAAAACCACAACCCTATGAAATTTCCAGTCCGATAGAACCCCAATTGCTATATCTACGGAGTAAAATATTCTTTCCCTTTATTTAAATCTTTCCACAGTTTACGCTGCGCATCGTTAACATTTAACAGCTTGGAATTTGTCAATGTTGTATCGTCAAGCCGTCTTTTTGTAGCATAATTAATCGTGGTATCCATCATAACTGAGATCCCGGTGTTTTTGCTTACTCTTAACGCCACACAAAAGTGTCGTCTACCTCCAGCATTATTTATCCCCAGAAGTAATTATCATAATTAGACGACAAATAACCCAGCTGATACTTTTCGACCATATTCTATCGTTATATTTTATTTTAAAAGGGAACATAAATACAAAGTTTTTTTAGAAGACCACTGGTTTCACATAGAAGAAACAGAGATGCTTGAAAAGGGTGAACAGTTAAAGAATATCCCTTCACACTTAATAAAGCAAAAATACCGCACGGAAACATGAGATGAAGGAAAAATTTGAAGAAATACTGAAACTGTCAGAGTTGTGGATCGCTATTTTGAATGATTTTGAGTGCGTCATGGGTAGGGTTGCCACCTTTTCAGGGTTTACATAAAGTATTTCTCGACTAAAGGGTTCAAAAAAAAAGTACTCAGGACAAAAATAAAGTATTTTATTTTTGTTTTTAAAAAAATATTTTTTGTTACACCTAGCAGCCAGTAACAAATTGCTGTCGCTCTTAAATACATTAATAGCCTCTAAACATAGCAAACAAAGATCTAAGTAAACTAAAAGTCCATTTTTAATTAGTTTTAATGAAGCTTTATTCCTGTCGTCCCGCCACTTTGTGTTCATAACAGAGAATACCCTTTCTGTAAATGCTGAAATGGCCGGAACGGACAGCAAAAGTGACACTACTTTGAACAGATTTGGGAAATCAGGTTGTTCCGTAAATATGGCTTGCCATTTTTCTGTGCAATATTATTGATGTAAAAGTACTCTGAATTTCGAATAATCGCTTACAAAATTACGATGTTTACTTAAGTCCTTAAATAAAGTATTTTTGCATACTTTATATGTCTTATAAAATATAACGCACGCACAGTCGAAGTAGAGTACAATACTTTATAATAAAGTACGGGTGGCAACCCTAGTCATGGGCAACAAGGATGTTCTCCTGTTCACTCGAACGAGATGGTCGTTTTAAACTGTTTAACATCAGTCACCTTCCGTGCGAGTTAAATCGACCCAACCGTTTAATATTGAAGCTGATATTCCATTTCTGGAATCCTCATTTCTCGAACGTACCTTGAAATAATACGATATTCATAACGCGTAGGTACGTCAGTTTCAACAGGAACGTCCGTCGGCGCAAAATTAATTGCCCCTGCTTGAATAGCAAAACCGAGAAAACGATAAAAAGTGGAATCCAGAAGAGTGGGACGCAATCTGGTCCCACGTTATTTATTATTTTTGTTAAGATGCAGCGTAGATTGCCGCAATGTCGAACAAAGAGAAGAATTATTGCAAAAAGTTTCCCGATGCTCGTGCCAGTTTCCTTGATTTATTAGTTTTCCCCGGAATAGCTGATGGTGCTCGTTAACTTTTTGCCTCGTTGGACCTTCACATATTAATTTATTTGGATAAGCAACTCGGTATAAGTAGCACCTACGTATCTCTCAAGTATTTACGTTGAATTTGGAATGCAACCTAAACATTTCTCCTAATAATCGGTCTTTTTACTTATAAACTATCCAACTGCTTAATAAATAATAACTGATCAAACTTTGGTCTTGGTAAATCTGGAAGACCAAGACAACACAAGACTAAACAAAACTCCAAGATAAACACTAAGTTGGATTCTACTATAGATACATTTGTACATATTAAGAATCTCCATTCCTAAAAAATGGCTAAAAATCCTGAGCTAATCTTCGCATTTCCCTAAAACTAGAACAACCCACATCCTTAACTATTTGCAAACAGTAATCTAATCTAGGTCTACCTTTACCCGTCCTAACTCCCGTTTCTGCCTCTAATATGTCTCTGACTAGACCTTCATGCTTGAGAAGGTGTTCTACTAACCTATCTCACCTATTTCTTATTGGCTTCCACAGAGCCCTCTGTTATCCTATTCTTTCTAATATTTCTTCGTTTCTAACCTTCTCTATCCATGATACCCTCATCATACGCATGTAACACCACATTTGGAACGCTTCTAACCTTTTCTTTTCCGCCGCGCCCACCATCCATGTTTCGCACCCTTGCAGCACCGTTCGCGAGAATAGAAGCAACTTTTTTTCTATCCTCTACTTTATATCCCTACTACTCCTTCCGTCCTCACTTATCTGATTCCCTAGATATTTAAAATCAGCTACTTGTTCTCGTCTTTCGTCTCGCATCTTTATATTCTGATTCATTGGAAATGTTACTATCTTCACCTCTGATTATTTCATCTGCGAAAACCCCTTAATGTACTAACTAGGTTTATCTGTTAACTTTGACTATTTCACTTCAAACAGACGCATACCATAAAGAAAGAGTCAAACCCTTTCTCAGTAATAACGAAACGTATTTATTAAGTCACAGATTCTTTATTAACTTGAGGTAATTTGTAGTAGATAAAAATTAAATTAATTTTCACATTAATATTAAAACGCTTATGCATCCAATAGATTTAAGAAGAAGCTAACGCACAAAAACATTAATATTTTATTTAATTTACGTTTAAAATCAGAGCTTGCATATAAATAAATACATTGTAAAATTCATATCGCCAAATTAAAAATCTAATTTTTATCACTTTTGGTAAATAGGTAGCAGAAATTGAATACATACTAATGTTACCAAAATTTGGTTATATATAATCTAGCATATTTTTCTTTGACTCCAGTGGACCTAAGCGTTTCTTGCGAAACAGTCATCCTATAGACGTTTTCTTCTCTTTCCAGGAAGTAAATCTGATGATTGGTACTCCTCTTGCCGAAGACCTTCACTTCGCAACTAAATTGTCTATCGGTAGACCCACAGAAGACCACTTTCCAGTCCATAATAGAATTGAACATGCTGGCAGTACAATGAAAAACGCCGTTGTTGAGATCGATCACAACAAAATCCGATCCGTTAGGGAAAGGATAACTGTCTCCCGACTCGTACACTTTTAATGAAGGATGGGCTATTCTGAAATGTGAACGAATTTCTGTTACTTGACCTTCAAAACCACAAATATTACAAGTGTAAGGGCAAAAGGTGCAGTTATGTTCGTGTATTCGTATCTTTGAGTATCCCAGAATAGCAAAACAACCGTTTCTGGAGTAACGGCAAGGAAAATTTACCGTTGTTGAGAGGACTTCTAACGTCTCGTTTCTATTTTTCGTCACAAAGTCTTGACAAACTCGACAATCGAACAACATGCAATTGTGACAAACGCCGTGCCCGCTCAAACACAAATAAATTGGGGGGATCATGTAATTGTGACAATTGGAACATTTGAGTTGTTCCAACTTCTCATCGTTAGTCATAACATTGAACGCGTTACTTTCATCGTCGTCTTCATCAGGTTGTGAACAGTCTGTTGTCAATTCTTTCTTTAGTAAACTCTCACTGTCGTCGTTGCTTGAGTCAGAAGTTTCCACTTTTGATGATGAATTTGATTCGTGCAGTTCACAAGCTGAATCCTCATCGATGGCATCTTCCCGTTGCAAAAACCCGTGGCTATTGAAAGTTTCATTGAGATTTTCGGAGTAAACCGAAGATCGATCGTCGTCAGTAGATTCGTCGGTATAAGAACCGGATTGTCTCAATCGTTCGAAACGTGACCGAAGCTCATCTTCTTCACCCCAGTTGTCTTCAATATGTACGCAACATTGTAATTTTCCAAAGTTATATCGTCCACATATCAACATTATGCCTTGTACGTCAACTTCTACGCTACCTGATGATGGATTCGTTATTACAGGGTTGTAACCCGTATGACAATGGCTATTTGTAAACGAAAAGTTTCCGCTAATTACTTCAATCGTGTATTTTATTTTATTTGCATGTTCTTTGGAGCCCAGAAATCGCAATCGAATTGTCAATTTAAACTCATCTTTCGTATACTCCGTTTGTAAAAGAAAAACATTGTTGTGATGGTGCAGGATGTAGTTTTGAGAATTATCTTTGGAGACATCAGCTACAAAAGACGGAGATTCTAGAAGAAACTCTCCGTGACTCTCTTCGAAGTGGTGTAAAACTTCTGTACTGTCGCCTTCCCATAAACATGAATCGGAAGCCATCGAAGGACAAAGGTAGATCTTTTTAGCTACCTTTACCTTCATATTACCCCTTAAAGTTTTCTGAAAACAACAAAATCTGTTAACATTTACAATTTACAACTTCATAAAATATTAGCCTACCTATTGCTCAAAAATTTATCGAAATCACCGAATGTGATGTGTTTGCACAGGACTGCCGCAAGATTACATAATAATGTTACGTATTAGCACGCACGTGATAATCAATACATTGATTCTCGACAACGTTTGGGTATGCCGGCAGGCAGAGACCGTCCGATGGTCGGCAATTTTTGTATTAAAGACGAGGAGAGTAATAAATCATGCTCTGAGTGACACATATTTGCTGCTTAACAGTAGAAACTCCAGAATTCTCGAGAAAAATGGAAACTGTTCCAAAGAATTCGGTGATAATATAAATAGGCCTTGAATGACAGCCAAAGTTAATTACTATATGGATAGGTGATCAATTACATGAATAAACAGTGCGATGTGAATACCAAGTGGTATAAAAATAATGGCGAGTAAATAGGCACTTATATACAGTGTGAAATGGCAAAGTAGTTCAAATGCTCAGATAAAATTTAATTCAAAAACGAGATATGTTCAAGATCTTTAGCGCGATATGTTTCTCGACGATCGAAGATCGATATATTCTTGACTCTTGCGGCAGCCCTTAAGTTTACATTTTTGAATTTACGATGGATATTAAAAAACTACAACTGCGAAATTTCTAGTACCTAAACAATTATAAAATCAAAAAATTATAACGTAACAGTCTGTAGACAAATAAAGCGGTTATTTATCAATAGAGAGAAAATGTAAAAATTATCGAATGGATTATAATCAACATCAATATCAGTAGTTATCGTTAAATTTATAGCGTTTGTATTGTATTGTATTAATTTAAGTATTTAAAAAAACAAAGACTGTACAACAAAATAAGGTAAATATACCAAAACGGATACGTTCGCTTCGTTCTTAGATAACTACTGTTACTGCAAATAATTAATTAGACAGAAATCGATGTTGTCCGTGAAGCAGCGTCATCGTCATCCCAATGTACGAGAATTAATCATTTACTAACTAATCAAATACAACACACGCACACACAGGCGTACACATTTACAAACTTTACATAAGTACGCCTCTAGAAACATTAGTATATCTATTCATAGTTAATAAATAATATTATAGCTTACCTGCCTTGACAACTTCATTCTAATTTGATTGTCATTTGTCATTTGAATCACTTAATAACGGAATCTACACTGTAGCCAACGTATGTTGGTAGTTATTTGCACAAGTTATTAATGTCGTATAGAATCGCTTTAAAAAATACCTCTCCTTATCACAATCATAGAGTGACAGGTATACATATTTACGTGCACTGTTCTCGTGTATTGTACAAATGTGTAGGTAAATGTAAACGGTAAACATGAATATTACCTCATACGTACGATTTTCAGATGGAGGATATTAACGCGACCAAGATTTTCATCTTACATGAGAGCGCAGCTAACGAATGAATGTTTATCTTTGCAATTTGCTTTTAAGGAGCGTGTCTTGATAACAACAATTTTGTGCGGCGATTGTTAATTTTTTTTATTGTTAACCGTATTCTCGCAGCGAATTGGAAACATTACAAACAAAAGACGAGACAAGTTAACAATATTGTGTAGTTTTTTTTTTTAGGGTGGCGGTAAATAATTAAACAACTTTATGTTTTCGTAACGTTTCGATTTATTCAACCATCTCCAGACTTTTGAAGTGTTATTTAATTTTAAACATTCTTGATTGATTCTCAGAATCAGCACCTATGCAGTAGTCAACATGAAAGAATGTTTAAAATTAAGTTAGGTAAATGCCTAGATGATGGCCCACACCCAAGAAGGGTGGGATCGAATGAGGAAGTCTCCCCCACCACTGTACCATAAAAAGTTCGTGGCGGTTTCACCCCCCTAAAAAGTTATGGGGGTTAGATGGGGGTGGGGGTAGGGGGGATCGAAAGAGGGTGGTCACTTGAACAAAACCCGATAACCTAACCTAACCTAACCTACCCTATTGATAAAGATATTTAAATAATGTTTTATATAATTTTCTCAATATTTTTATGTATTTTTCATTAGTTTTACCTTTGAATATTGTTTAAGAATGACTATATAAATATTTACATGCCTAGAAATGTATAAAAATTGACAAATTTATTAACTTTGAACCTCCATAACTTTTTATGGGGGTGAGACCTCCACGAACCTTTTATGGTACAGTGGTGGGGGAGACCTCCTCTTTCGATACCACCCTACCCCCCACCCACCCCCGAATATGGGGTGGGGGCCACCATCAAGACCTTTACCATTAAATTAATATCTGTTTACAAGCAGTAAGTTGTTTATTTATTTGACCGCCTCCCTGGAAATAACTACATAATTTAAAAGTAACGGTCAGGAATCTAACTTAAGTTAAGAATATTAACTGACTGTTCCTTATTTTCTGACATACATCTGCTTGTAATGGAAATAGGTGCGACTATCTCCTCTGATGATACGACTTTTCTGAAATTAGCTGACTATTAAAAACTTCTAAACAAAATATGAAACTAACAACGCATTTGATCGTAGAATCACATACTGACGGAATTAGTGCGACAGCGTTTAAAATTCTTCTTCTTTTTTCCAAATGAACTACTGTAAACACCATCACGAACAAATATCTCGCCTCGCTATAAATTTCTCCTCTTAAACTCTTTTTCCCTGAGTAATGACCCTTAAAGGGCACCATATATTATACCCGGTTAAACATTAATCTTTTCGAGGAAACGCATAAATATGTTCGTCCTTTATTAGGACTCGCCTCACTTTAATAATAATAAGAAACTGTATCAAATACAAAAATGTTATGGGTACCTGCTCAGATAGTATAGTATAGTACCTACGATACGCTTAATAGAATAAATTACATATAAGTCCGCTGTTTAATTAGTATCTATCGTTTTATCTTATCTTTATTAAATTGTATGTAAATTTAGATAAACGATAGATCACAAAGAAGACTGATTCAAGAGATCAAGGATCAAGGCAAATAAATTAAGTTATTTGAATTATTATAAACAAAGTACGACTAACTACAACCAGAAAAGGGTCTATAAAATACCTAAACTACCACTTATATGAAAAAGAATATAATAATCCTCTAATCTGAATAAAATATGAAGTTCCTTTTGACCAACTAGAAAATTTTTGGTCACTGTCAATATTTTGAAAGCTTTTGAGATAATAATTAGCAGAAAATGTTAGTTTACAATGACCGTTTATTAACAATGACAACTTAATCCCATATTGAAAATAGTCTTCATGGTAGGATTTAAAACAAATCTTCATCTAGATTCTAAAAGAACCGAGAGACCATGTTAATGAATGGTTTTTAGTCAATTTTTTTACAAAACAGAGACATTCTAATTAAGTTTATTCAGAGTGTTCATTAGAACGTTCCACAAACCAGTAGAGCCTTAAGAGAACTTTTAATCCCAGATGCTACGAGAGCGTTAAGTATTCTCCTCCAGTTCCTTTTGGAGCTGTTTTTTAATAAAACGACCAGCAGGAAACGACAAGGCTTTATAATTAAGTTTTTAATCTGTCGACATAAATAACCATAAAATAATGTTACTTTTTTTGTACTCATTCTACTGTATGGAATAGAATAGTTTTGAATAGTAAAATCAGCAACTACATACTTATGAAATGAACTAATTTATATCTTTCGATGTCAAAAAAGCTAGTAAGACAATTTAGTACAGAAAGCGTCCGATGAATTCGGATTAGGTTAACTTAAAAATAAAAAGCAGGGAAAATTTACTACTGAAGATGGTGAAATATTAGTTACCGTAAGTTTACTTGTCAAATAGAAGCATTTTTATTCGCCATTCTTAATAATAAAATGCCAATAAAAACTATTGGTTACTAGAAAATTTATTGTAATTGAATATTCAGCGGCACCACCTTAAATTAAACAATTTAAGACAATTTGCCTATTACGAACGACTAGATATTTAGTCAAACATATCGAATGGTCCATTGTCTTGGTCGGTTGCTTTCTACGATCATATTTATTTTAGGGTGAATAAAGTAACAAAAAATTACTCGATTGAGTGAAACAGAAAAAGATTTCGAGAAAAACTGATTCCATTATTTCCTAGAAACATTTCCGTTACGTAACTGTAAGTCGACAGCAATAAACGTAAATAGACAAAAAAGAAAAGAGTAATAAAAGGAAAGCGTGGGCAACTTGACCGGAAAAACGTGACGTTTCCGGCTTTCTCGTTCAGCTCTAATTCGTTCCATATCTGCAACCATCAGTCCGCCTGTCGAAATCGATTAGCGGCTTTTAAAGCCCTTTTATAAATGATAAGCACCGAGCATTTCTTTGCACTGACCTCAATCCACAACACTACTGTTTTATAGGAACGTTAATGGCATCAGGAACCATTTGACAGGAGATCATTTTCATTGCCCTTAGTGCTTTTTCACATTAACCGGAACCGGTTACCAGGTACCGCCGGAACTGGTTATCAAATACCGGACAGCCGGTTTGAAAGTGTACGCAGTGTGTAGCATATTTTTACTTACACATGCCGAAGTCACCGGATGGTCACCGGGTACCCGCTAGACGGCATATAATAATTGGGATCCGTCAAATGGGCATACACCATCTGGTGGCAAAATTTATAACTCGAATGAGGGAAAAGTTTACATAGGAACTGTGCACGCAAATTGTAAAATTGTTTATTAAAATAATAAAACACGTTAAAAAGTCGACGAAGTTTATTCTAAAGTTAAATCAAATAAAAAGTTAATATGTTCAGTGAAAAGCTGCAATAGCACTTTAGACATAGATCTTTACTCTTCACCTACATTAACTACTTTCCAATAAAAACTAACCGTTTTATATATGTAAAAAATATATTCCGAAAAATAGAGAAAAAAGTAAACTAATAGAAGCTTGAATGAAAGCAGTAGGTATCAAAGAAGTGAATTCCGGAATAAAAATTTGTTCACGTCATTTTAATGCACATGATTATATTTCAGCAAGTATTTACCATCAGCCATAACCTTAATATTTAAAACTAGAATCATACTAAAATTATAAAGTGAGAAATTATTTATTCCTGTGTAATTGATTTAACACAATTCTATTGATACGATATAAGTATTTTGATTTTCAGAACCTACCTGCTGCAATACAACAAAGTTGTAATAATGTGTTTGCAACGTTCTCTTAAATCGGCTTTGCACGTGCAAGTCATTGATATGATATTGCTTAAATCACCCAGAATCACCTCACCAATTATATAACGTGAATCACTTTTTAAATCTGAAGTTTGTAAAAAGTAGGCAGTAAACTTGACGGAATTTGAAGGCTAGCTTCCGGATTTGTTATTTCCGAATTTTATAATGTGATTGGCATTAAAAACACGCTCGCCTTCAACGAAATTTCCTTTCCGAGGCTTTGTGTCAGCCCAATCACATATTGTGTCAATACTTATCGTTTTATCGTAATTTAAAAACTTGAAAATTGCACGCTACACTATAGGAACTACAATAAATTTTCCCTAATCGGCGCCATGTTTTTAGGCTCCTCCCATTTGACAGATCCCAATAGTATTGATTATTATTTTATGTTTAATATTTATTGGTTGAACCTAATACAACCGTTTCTTTTTCTTCTAATGATTATCTATAATTATTATTAACCTACAACTAATAAATCAACTCCTTGTGTCAATTAAAAAACCGTGAATGGTGTACGAAGTTAGCAACAACTGAATAGCTGGACCCAATTAAATGTAAAAAGACTATTATTTTTGTTCGGCTACTCATTAGAAGTGTTTTAAAAGTTACTAACAGAAATTATACAAAACAAAATTGTTTGATAATGAACGAATTTAAAGAAGAAAATGTAGAAAGGCGAGAAATACTGCATTATGGCATCGATTTAGAAAACACTGTCACAGCGACAACGAAAAATTGTCGCCCATTATTGACAATCGACTTTAAACAGTTCGCAATGACTTTTCACGGTAAAGTGAAAATCCGCCTTCTGACAAGAACAAATAGATCTAGTACACCTCACGACCGCAACGTTTAAGACGAGAAATAGGTTGTCGTTAAAGTTTTTTACCATCGCCTGATGTAGGTACCTATATCGACCTAATTTTCGAACAACTGTCTTCCATTATTTGTAATATGTACAACTGGAACAAGTCGACAACTAAGTTAACATACAATAAATTCAAAAATAATCTTCTTTTACTTGATTCCACCCTTTCTGTATCAGAAACGAATTCGATATTCTTGAAAACTGCTAATAAGAAATAATGTCATCTAAACAGTGTCTTTGTACAAACTAGAGTGGGTGGATCGGCTGATTGCGATGATTTAGGGAGCCGGACCATAGGTTAAACCATAATGGGGGATTCTTAAAGAGAGACCAGACTAACACAAGTCTCTGAAAGACGGCAGCAGCTCTTTTCGAGATCATGAAGATCGGTATGGAACTCTGATGCACAATACTGCGATGTGGAAGGCAACGGGAAACCATCACATTATAATCCCGAATAAAGGATAACGTAGATAGAAAAGGTTAGAAATAAAGAAGTATTAGAATGAATAGGAGAACAGAGGATTCTATCGAAGTCAATCAAAAATAAGCAAGGTAGGTTGGTAGGACACCTTCTCAGGCATGAAGGTCTGGTCAGAGACATATTAGAGGCAGAAACAGGAGTTAGGAGGGGTAGAGGTAGACCTAGGTTAGATTACTGTTCGCAAATAGTTAAGGATGTGGGCTGTTCTAGTTTTAGGGAAATGCGAAGTTTAGCTCAGGATAGGAAAGAGTGGAGGTACGTGTCCAACCAGTCTTAGG